TAGCCTTGTCCCATAATTTGTCGAGGGACTATCCTATAGTTTGTCGAAGGATTAGAACCTAGTTATCTCCACCGGTTTAATGAGGAGAATGGCCTAGAGTATGAGACACCCCAGAGATTCGAGAATAGGGGAAGCTGTGGTCCGAGAATGAGTCTTATGATCTTTGGTTAAGTCACGCCTCATGATTGGTGAGCTTGGGTAGTCCAATCACACGGACAGAGCCCTAATCAGTGTTATAACCCACGGTTTCAGTCCGAGGAAATAAGAAGGATATAAAGTTGATTGATCATTACCTAAGTAAATATATGACGTGTCACACGTGTTAAGTGGTGGCAAGTCGCATGAGTATGGATCATGTCACATATCTAAGAATATGGTGACAATGCACCTAATTATGAGAATTAAAGAAGTTATTTAATAATACTTGACAAGTTATGTTATATGCTAGCATGTTTTACATACTTAATTTCCTTTTGCATGTATTTGATTTATAATTGATATATAACTACATAGGGTAGGTTTAACCTTAGTTACTGAGTGGCTATACTCATCCTTTCATTTAACATTTTTTAGGCTCTAGCTCTGGTGTTGAGAGGGAGAAGACTAAAGAAGTGGGGAATTAGCACATTCATTTCTGTATGTCTCTAGTTTAGATTTAATTGTGTAATAGTATATAACTTATCAATTATAGGATGCATGCCATCATACTTGCACTATTTTATTGTTGGAAATGTTAGATTTGTATTTTGGACCTTTAGTCTTTATATATGTTGATATATATACACACACACACACATGTTTATAGGGTCAAAATACTAATGCAAGTGTAAAAATAATGATTTGAACTTGTTGTGAATGATTTGGGCAAGATGCAATGACAAATTACCTCCCCCTCTATTTTTGGTAAAATGGGATTGAGGAGTGAATTTTTGTTATACTGATGTTTCAATGCTTGTGACGTATTGTACTAGTAGCCCTAGGTCCATTGGACATGGTCCAGGTGATAGAAAAAGCTTTTGGCAATTGTTGAGGGTTTTGACACCCATTTTGTGTAAAAGTGTTGAAAAGTGGTTTAAATGTGTTTGGGTGTCTAACTTCTTAGTGTTACATGTTTTGGAAGTGAAATCTATGGCATTAGCTACTTCATATAAAGAGCTTTTCGTAAACACTTATATCACATCATTCGGACGTCGGATGAAGAATCGGGACCAATCGAAAGTTCCCCAATTCTACTGTCAAATGAGAGTAGAATTAGTAGAAATTTCATGCAACATGCCGCGATGCATGCGGCTCAAGTGCAGAGAGCAACACGCAACAGCGTATCATGCATAAGCCACGATGCATTGCCCTATATCACAACACATTTTTTTCAACCGTTTTCAACTTCATTCACTCCTCTGAAGTATCATATGCTTCTATAACTTATTTTTACTTTGGTATGAAAGACTTTGATAAATTTTAATACATTTTTATTTAGAAAACTTGGGACCACTTGTTTTTAAATTAAACCTTGGTGATCATCCTTTCAAGTTAAGTCTTGGATTATAAAGAGATATATTAGTTAATTATGATTAGTGGAGTGAGAATGTTTAAATCACTACTACAAAAATGGACATAGGTGGCATTTAAAATTTTAGTTTCATGGCATTTACCAAACACTATAAAATTTAATGCTATAATAGGTATCAGGTAGCATTTCATTAATTATTGAAGCGCCACAAAATTGATGAAAGAGCGACAGCATTTCTTTCTACAATTGTCACCTCTTTGCCTTTATTTTTTTAAAGAAACCAAAAGAGGTGGTGTTTACACCATGTTAAAACGCCACTTTTATTCTCTATAGAGGTGGCGTTTACAAATAGTAAAAATGCCACCTCTATGCAAAATTTTTAAAAAAGTTAAAATTTCAACAAAGATGACATTTATAAAATGTATAAACACCACCTCTGTAATTCCTCTTTTTTTTTTTTATCTTAAACAGAACATAGGTGGCATTTTTGTGTTAAAGAAATGCCACCTATGTTGTCTTGTCCAAAAGGGTGGCGTTTTTATAAGATATTACATACTAATAAAATAAACAAATATAAATAAAAATTTAAATAAATAATAAAAAATTAGCATTAGTTAGGAGGCATTTCCAATAAAAGCAAACGCCGCTTCTCTCCTATTATATATTAAAAATATTATGTAATAATAAAATGAAATATTTTGCTACACTATAGAGGTGGCATTTGCATATACTTGAAACACCACATGTGTTATTTTCAAATTAAAATATATTCTTATATATACTAATTATTAATTATAATATATAGTTTAAATAAAATAAATATATACAATTATAAAATATAATAAATGTTTTAAATATCAAGAGAGGTGGCGTTTAAAATAGCTAGAAACACCACCTCCTTTTATTTGATTAAAAAATTTTATAATTATAAATAATATAATATATTAATTAGTATTAAAATAATTAAATATCTAATAAATCGGTCATTAATGATTAAGTAAATAGAATCATAATAATTATCTACTTTTATAAAATTTATTAACTACAAATATTATTTCACAAATAAATTTAAATAAATAGTATTAAGATATATCATTTTTAATTTATTAGTGTATTATATAATGAATAAAAGTTAGACAGGTGGTGTTTCTAGGAGCTAAAAATGTCACCTCTCTGCCATTATTTATGAAATAATCAATACATGATTAATTGCATATACTAATTAATTAAATTGTAATATAATAATATTTTAATATGATAAAAACAGAGATATATAAAGGTGGCGTTTTAAAGATTTGAAATGCTACCTCTCTTATTTTAATTTATTAATTAAAAATATATATTATTCTTAGTGATACTTAAATAATTATATTAAAATTATTATATAATCTAAAAATATATATTTAATGAAGGACAAATTAAAAAGGTGACATTTTATTATTGAAATGCCACTAATAATGTTATTTACTATAAGCTGTGGTATTTTTTTAAGAAACGCTACCTATTGTTATACACTAAAATTTTAAATAAATAGAGTAATTTATAAGTTGTGGCATTTGATAAAAGACACACCACCAAACCAAAGGTCTTTAAATTTAATACAGTAGCACTTTATTTTTATTATTATAAAATGTATGCTACTAATTTTTATTTTTGTAATCGTGCATGTCATAGCACTGGAAATAAGTTATGCAGATTCATACATGTTTTTCGCTTAAAAATACGAAATAATAGCACCAAGCCAGATAAGACCTAATTAACCAATTTGGTAGCTCTCACATGTTTAAGTTGACTTCTTTATTTATTTATTTATTTATTTATTTATTTTCCACAAATAGACACAACTTGACAAATGATCCCTCCCATTTCCACTCTACCGAAAAAAGGTTTTGTTGGTTGTTATTTTTGTTTAATAAAATACTACAATGACCATCGCTGGCTGCCCTTTAGTCTGTCTAGAATTTCAGAAACCATTCAGTAAAAAAACAAAACAAAACAAAACAAAACAAAAAAAAAGAAAAATTGAATTTCAGAAACCTTCCTCTATTTTTAAAAATTACACATAAATTCAATTAAAACACTTAATTTTATAATTAAAATAATGTCAAAAAATTTAAAATTATTAATTTTTTTCGATAACATAATTATTTACTATATCACTTTAAATTTAAAAATTTGAAAAGGTAGTCATGGTAATATTTAAATAAAAATTTTGAAAAATATCACTAAAATTTATAATTTAAATTCAAATAAAAATAAATTAAAATTAATAATTTATCGCTTCTTATATTAGGTTTTTAATATTAATTTTTTGTCTATGTGTTTAAAATGTTATTTTAACCAGCTTTTATTCTTAATTAAATTTAAAATTTAAACAAAAATAGATATTATTAAAATGATTAAAAATATACGCGTTGAAATTACTTTTTTAGTGACAACTCATTTTTATACAACATTCATGTGGAAGAGTTTTTTTTTTCAAAAAAAAAACATGATTTAACAGTCAATTAATGATTAAGTGGATGAAAATAGAATGGCAAAAGTAGAAGGAAAATATGTGCAATATAAATTTTGATTTCAAGAATGATTCAAGAATGATTTATGTATACTTTAAAAATAGAATGAAAGTTTCAATAACCGAGATAACATAATAGGCAGGTCAGTTGTATTTTACTTTCTCTAAAAAAACTTTATGGTTAATCGAGTTTTGACATAAGGTTACCTATTTAATTTATTGATGGCTAACAGGCCGTTCCGAAATTTAATAAAACTAGATTCTAAACCCCGTGCATTGCACGGGAGAGTAAACCCTTTAATGAAATCACATTCAAAGAAGGAAGATGATGAAAGAATATAGGTTTAGTTTTATTTGAATCTTTCGTAATGTGTTGTTGGCATAATTAATGAATTTTCAATATTTATTTAAAAAATCATGTTCTAATCAAAACATGAGTAATAATACTATCAATTAACATGCATTCTAGACAAAAAAATGTTAACACCCACGCTGTCCTAACATGAATAAATACTAATAATTAGAACATGAGTGTCTGGTATACCTCAACAATTAACTTCAATTCTGCTAGGACAAAAAATTTATAGATACGTAGTACGTAGAAATTAATCTAACTATTACAGTTTCATTAGTCATCCATTAAACTAACAAAAACACAATGAACTGATATATTAAAAGGAATTAACTTATTATGAGGTTTAGCAGCCTTCCAAAACACCATTACAATCTCATGAAAAAAATAAAAACAACAAAGGTCATAACTGCACTATTAATTCCCTCAATTGCTGCCCTCTTAAATGTTAGGATCTTTAACAAAAGGATCACTCCTGCATTCTTCAACTTCATTACAGCCCAATCCAAAAGTTAAAAATGAAAATAAAAGCATGTAAAGAACACTGGAAGCATGCCTTTTACATATAGTAAAATAAGAAATAATATAAGCTTGCCTCCATTATATCAAAAGGACACTGAAAACATGCTTTCAACTAAACTGTCATGTAAAGCCGCACATGCATGTGTGGGTGAGCAACTTCAAATTTTGCAAGTAATGCACTGTGTAAGCTATTTGTACATGCCTCAAAAAATACACATGGGTAATGACTCTGTCATTAACTTAAAAAACTGATAGACAAATCTTATAATCAACTCAGTTTTAGATATCCTCGTTATTATCAATGACAAACCTGAAACCAAGAGTACCCACAACCAAAAAGTCAATTACAAAGTATTCAAAAAAAATCACCTCAAACCAATAGCTGAAAGCCTGAAACAAAACCTCAATGTTAGGGAGATGAAGTAAAAAAATATAAGAAGGCTAATACTAAAACTACCAATATACTAAAAAGGCTGACAAATACTAGACTTGTGTGCTCGAGGTATTGCAGGAAAGTACATCCTAAACGAATTTAGCTCCTTAGAACTACATATTCCTAGGAAATTCACCACAAGTACAGCGCAAGACTTTTGGATTTGAAACTGATAATTTTATGTTGCAATGCTTATCCCTGGCTTTTGTCAATAGTCATCAATGGCTCAGTCCAACAGCAATGATTCAAGGCAAAATTAGAAGAAAGTGATAAAAGTTCAGCAGTTGCAGCATCAGATTATGTTTACTACTATGTTATAATTATCAATATTAGTCATTAGCCTCAAGTTACAGTTATTAGCATGGTCACGTGCATATACATTTGAATCAAGAGCTTTTTTTTTCATAAAATTGTCCACTTGATCCCACACACGGATGAAAAGAAAAAGAATAGTAAAAGTAAATAAATGGTGAGAGAGAAAAGTAAAATGTAATGGACAGCAAAATAAAGTCAATAGACAAGGACAAGAATGTTTGCAAAACTTGAAAACTGAAGTCAAAAACAACACAAAGCCCAACTGAAGCCTGCCTACTAATTTATGAGGAAACCATCATTTTTTGTTTAACACGGTTATGCAAAAATAATTAAACAATTCAGGACTCAGCATTCAAAGTTGCCATGTTTTAGTTTACCAAAGGAAATTTCATTTGATTTAACTCAATATGAGAAAAATCACAACATACTCAAGCATCACAATCACAATGATTTGGCTGGAGTATGATAACTTTGGAAGCGTCTCACCATATAATGCAGTTGGGTCAGTTGGCGTGGCTGCAAGGACATGTTGCTTTTCTTTCGACAAAACCCGTACAAAAGACCATATTAAGATGACAAACAGTAAGACAAGACTTAAGAATACAACATATGGAGAAAATAGCATACAGTTAATGTTGTCAAGAGACTAACTATAGCCGTGAGGTGCAGAGTTGCCATAGCACTTCTAACGGAAAGCAACAGATCGTATCCTGCAGATACAATTAAAAAAATTGATTTGATAAGTTTTTCTATGATCACTAGTAGCTTATAACAGAGTACATACCTATAGATTGTAGTTTCTATGGTAACTCCGCAGCTAATTGTTGACCCACAAAAAACCTTTGCCACAGCCAAAAAGTAGAAAAATTAGAACTTTTATGATGTTCATAAGAAGAAAAACCAACGGTTTCACCATGACAATTTCATACCCGAACTCCATTACAATTCCAGCATCACCTGGTCTTCGACGAGGAAGAAAAATTGTACAGTGAAACCAAGAGAGAGTTCATACTATTGAAAAAGCTACATGATTTGTACAACTGTGCAACAAATGGATTAAGTACAAGCCCCTCTCCTCGGATTTAACCTCTCTAAGCCAAGGGTATGGAGATCCTAAGCTAGGTGAAAGTGACATCATGGAGAAGAACTAAATAGGTGACGAAGGTAAAGAAGACGAACCTCATCTTGAAACGTAATCTTATTTAACAACATGAACAATCTCAGGAAGCGGGAAATAAAAAGCAAAAGGAGATGACAATTATCCAGAATAAGAAAGTGACATAATCTGTCCAAATAACTCAAGGATAACCAAAGACAAATTAGAAGAAATGCACAGAATATACCTACTCCTAAGGAACGACAAAGAAAACACGAATCCAAAGCCCAGCGTCGAGATAAGGAGGAACTCAGCAACAAAACCAATGCTGCAAATCCCACATGCAAGGCAGAAAAATACAATTCCTAAATAAAACCAAGAAAATAATGGAGTTCAAGAGTGAGCGAAGCTTGCTGTGTGGCAGCGAAATTCAATGCTTGGACCATATTCTGATTTGAAAAACCATAGGCTCTTTATTTTTGTTTTCACCGCGTTCCTCATTGACGCTCACCCCCAATAGAGATGGGTTCAAGGAAGAAAGGAGGACCATTTTCTCTATTTGGACCATCTTCATTGAGGAATTGTGTGCATGATTTGATCAAGAAAAATAGATAGAAATGGAAGAAGAAAATCGGCAAGAACCATGACCGCATGGTTAAGGATGGAGAGTCAAAAAAATTATTTAGAGTACAAAGGGAAGAAGGATAAACTAAAAGATATTGGATCAGCAAAGTCCGACTATGAATAAAGGATTGAGAAAAAAAAATCCAAAAGTGCTCAGGAGAGAAGAGGGATGAACCGAAGAGGGGGTCATGTGACTGTAAGGCAGCATGAGTGAGCACTGAGCAGATTTGAGAAATTTTTTCTGAAAAACTGATTGATGATGACACTGCTTAGTGTGTAGTATAAGCAAGAAATGTAAGCTCATGCATCGAAGTATCAAAAGCAGCGTACGATCGCGTTGTATTGGTGAGCCTGAACAGGATATAACAAATAGATTGAGGAGAGAAAAATGGAATGGGTTTCAATTATTTGATAGCGTCCATGGTTATAGCCGTGGGAGAGAGAAAAAAATTGTGACCTCTGTAAGTCACAAGGAAAAGTGGGAAACAAAAAATTTGAGGGATTGTGTGTGTAAAATAGAGAGAAAAGAAAAAATCGAGCAAAGAGAAAAGTTGTTTAAAAGACAAAGGGAAAAAGGAGGAAACGCGTGAAATTAGATAAGTCTGACAAAGGGTAAAGGATTTGGGGCAAAGGTCAAAAGTGTGCCAAAAAAAAAACTGAAATTGGGTCAAAGATGTTCATAAGAGACAAGCCAAGGGACAAGGGCGCCCAAATGAATACATTTCCCAGGAAAAGCAGCCGCAGTATTCCTTGCTACAGGAAATTGTGTCTGAAGCCATTGTTTTTCTCGGCTCGGCTCACAAAGTATTAGGAGATATATAGATATATAGATGGATGTTTTTTTTACTATGTTTTTATAGTTAGCTTACTCATAGGCATCATGTTATAGTTTTCAGCAAAATATTTTTTATGTGGCATAACCAACCAAAGAAAATTAACTTGATACCAAATTGAACCAGGTAGCGGCGAGAGTATAGCCGAGTACCAATGGTAAGCCTGGCCGATATACTTAGTCTAGCTTCCAAAGTTTGATTTATGACCATAAGTTATTTTGCTTATAAAAAAATTTTATTTAAAGTTATATAAATTATATTCACTATATAGGCAAATTTTATGATGCATAAAAATACATGCTTATATCAAATATCCTATAGAGATCAGTAAGCCTTACTTGGCTTCAATTCAGCGAGCTACATGATGAAGTTTTGTTAATGAAGACGAATAGGTTTAGAAATTTTTGTTAACAACATAAAAAATGTTATTCAGCTGAGAGATCGATAATCATTTACAGAGTAATAATGAGATTGAAGAGGAAGGAGAAGAAGAGAGATTTATGGAAGAGGAAACCAAACCAGCTTATAAAGTAGCTACAACCAACACTGTTGTAGAAAGGGCTTTTAACAACAGTTATTTTTAACTCTTTACGTCAGTTATTAAGAAAAAATAAAAAAAGTGAAGTGAAAAATCAACTTTTCATATCAATTATTTAAAATAAGTGAAGTGAAAAGCATACTTTCCACATCGGTAATTTAATAATCAATGTGGAAAGCTTACTTTTTACAACAGTTATTTTCAAAAAACTGATGTTAAAAGTTTTTTAACATCAATTTTTTTATATAACCATTGTTAAAATTTTATTTTTTAAAAAAAATTTTGTTTTTTTTATACATCCAGAACTTAAACCTATGAACTTCAACAACAACAAAATTAAAATCCAACTTTCAAGCCATGAATAAATTATATAAATATTATAAAGATTAGAAAAAATATTTGGCAAAGTTTCCTTTAAAATAGAACCTCCCAAAATCTCAATAACACTTAAATTTAACTTAAATCTTAATAATAAGGAAATTTAAATGAAACTCCTAGGCATTATAAAAATTTAAATTAAATAATCTTAAACAATTACTAAACATATAACAATTTAAAAGAAAGAAACACAAAATAATTAAACTGAACAGTGTAATACCTTCACTGACATTACCATACGCTCCACTTCAAAATCTCTAATCACTTTGAAAACATTTAAGTTGAAAATATTGAAAACATTGGGATTTCAATAAAAGATTTTCAGAAATATCATTTCATAACTCACTTAAATTATAAAACCCTAACGCACCAAAACATACACAGTGGAAGCAACCAGTATTCGGGTATTGAATACGAAAAGAAACACGTGCAAACAAGAAAATAAAGTGCAATTTTGCACCATGCGTCGCGGCTTGTGCCACATGCGTCGCAGCTTGTGGCATAGAGGCTAAGTTGCTCGCTCTGTGCCATGCGCCACGGCATGTGAGTACATGCGCCTCGGCGCACACAATTAAATTTGTTGTTAAATGATAGTTTCTAATATGAAATTCAGATGCACACCATTTTTACATACGCTATTCAATTGAGATGGTTCAAGCGCCCACACAAAGCTTATTTTGAAGTCTAATTAATGACACTAGTTTCATCTTAATCTGATATTTCTATTAAAAATTGAACACTAAAGTGTATTTTGACCATTTTCTGGCAAATTTTTGTCATTTAAGTGTCTCAATTCAAAACCAATTATTATTAGTCACTTTATGGGCCTTGACCATGTCCAAATGGACAATACATACCTAATTGACCACACACATGCACAATATATCACACATACACACATTTGGCCTGTAAATCACTCATTTTTTACTTTGGGCCAAAATCACATTTTCTTTTCTTTAACCCTATACAAGGCCAATTCACTATCTATCCACTTCAAACATCACATATTCACACACATATACTTTCTTCCACTAGCTCATCCAGTCATTTCATTATTCATACATATATAAGGGTTAAGGAGCTCAAAATCACAAAAAAAAAACACAACATTCACCACAATATGCACATGTTTGAATCCTATGGCAACTTATACATATTTGTAACTACTAACAACAATTGCATTTCACCAAATTCTTACAAAGGCTTAGTGAGCAATCTCAACTCAGCCAATGTCTTTCCCTTTCAGACCACTAGCACTAAAACCTGAAAAATGTAAATAACCATGGGTGAGATAAAAATATTAGTAACCAAATATAATTTATTAAATGTCTATTACCATAAATAACCATTCCAAAGTAATTGAAATCATCTTACAGCATATATATATATATAGTATATCATAACTAAATCATCACTTTCACATATAAATTATGTTTCAAATACTTTTACACCTTAGCATGATCAACTATCTACCAATCTTCCAAAGTTCCCTGATATGAAACTATAGGCTCTCCTAAATCAACCACTTATTGACCCGAGCTCACTTTCGATGGCAAAAACACCAAGCCAAAGATAATCTAACCCACCTATGAACTATGGTTTTCCTCTTCACACACTTGTGATAGAGGTGTTGTTGACTCTTAATTGCACCCTAACGGACGCTAGGGAGTTGCCAAACTACATGAACGTCCCATGGTAATAGTCCTATAATATGCTGTACCGAATTACCCATGATAACAGCTCGTATAATGCTGCACTGGATGTCCTATAGTGCCATCCCGACTATATGAATTTTTTACTCACCTATCTCCACACACACATATCCCCACATATCTTGGATGAACTCCCACCCCCTATGATCATGTTCTTTCACAATTTTCACTACTTATACATATTTTCACAACATATATACTTCCATATCATATATGTATACATCCATTGAAATCAATAACTTTTGAAATTCATTTCACAATGCAAAGTTCATGCTAAATACCATTTCAATAACAATCATGCATAAAACTCATAAATTCACAATTTATCATTTGAGATTTACTTCTACACAGTTATAATAGTTAATAAATATAATAAACTATATAGTTACCTCAACCCTTCTATTCGATAGAAAGGGTTATCCATGTAACTTCAACCCTAATCAAGCTCCTCTCTCATAATTCGTGCGTTACACACTAGAATCTACACAGAATTGGCATTCAAAGTCAATTCCTCTATTGATGAAAAGTGTCAATTATCACAATTAAACACTTAATCGTTATTAAAACCATATTTCACACTCGATTACACATATTACCACTGATCACCCCTCATTTTAAGCTTTAACATTTCTAGCCATTTTCTCTCACTACTCTCTCTAAATCAGGGCAATTCTTACCTACAGCTTCAAAACTTTATCATTTCAACTTAAACCAGTCACAAAGCACTAGTTTAGTTTCAAAAAACTTTTTTATTACTATAGGGTAAGAAATTAACTCCTTAAAACTCCTGAATTCAATTCCTCACTAGTTAGAACTAAGAGAAAATAGGGTAGATTCAAAGGTTAAAGCAGTATGTAACTTACCCAATAAGTAACAGGTTGGAAACACCGTCCTTGCTGTTAATTTAGCTTGCCCTAGCATACCCTTTGCTCTTCTCCATGCCAGACCTCTCCTCCCATGTTTCTCCCTTCTGTTTCATGAGCTAGACACGTCCTTATAAATTTGATTTCTGCTCCATGCACTGCAGCAGATCTATCCCTCGTCGCGACACTTGACGTAGTGAGGGAAATCCTCACTATGCTCACACGCTTTGCTTTAGGACTCCACTCTTCTACTCATATCTATTCATATAATATCCTAATGAGTCAATATAACATTTCACTACTTAGAACCCTAATTCCACATTAAATCACCAATTCATTCCTAATCAGTCATTAATGCAAGATTAGAAATTTAGGATGTTACAAATAGCCATTCCAAATTGAGCACAGCTAATGTTAAGAACAAAAATAAAAATTTTTATATCTACAACTACTAACTACTTTAAGGTACAGAAATTAAAGAAAAATTTGAAAAAAAGAAAAGAAAACTTACTTTGAAGGCAGAATGTGAACGGACAACGGCACCAAGAATGAAGTAGAAGAAGAATGAAGAAGAAAACACCCACAACTAACAAAGTGCTAAAGAAATCAATAATGGAAGAAGGAAGAAGGAAGAAGGAAGAAAAAGAGAACAAATATGGCTCTTAAAAAGTGGAATTTGAATGAACAACGGCACCATACAAAATGGCGCAAAGATGGTGAAAAAGTGATGGCAACAAAACCCAAAATGGTGACTCAATGGTGATGATGGTGGACGAAGTGATGAACATCAACAATGGCAAAGGAGGAAGCTTTTTTCGATTTTGGGTCTAGAGAGAGAAAGCGTCAAATGAAAAGGAAACTGAAACTAAAGGAAGAACTATCGAAAGCATATCTTTTAAGATCTAGAATTTGAAATGAAACCACATCAGTTTTTATATATGGTTTCAAGTTTCCACGTTGATTGTAGAAGCAACTGATGTGGAAGAAACATACATAAAAAAATTAAAAAAAAAAACCTTTTTGACAATCCACGTCAATTTTTTAATAACCGACGTGAATTGTAGTTTTTATATCAGTTTTCTAGAGAACACTACAGTTTTTTTAATAACTGACGTTAAAAGGCGATGTAAAAGGCTATTTTGTAGTAGTGCAATCAAGCTTTTATGA